CGGGGCCTAGCACAGCGCGTCACTGCTCGCGGCGTGGGGCACGCGGGGCCTGGGCAGCTCACATTATTTCACGTTTTTGAGTCGTTCGGTCTCGTTTGGTATCGGAATTCGATTCCGCTTTTTCCTGTGCATCGCCAACGAACTCCTCTACCTAATTATGCCTGCCCGAATAATTTTCACTTGCAATCCCGTTCTCCCGAGACTTCCGACCTACACACCATAAACACAGAAAAACCAAAAAAATATACGGAAAACACACAGAAAACCGAAATAGCGCTAAACACACAATAAACACTAAAAACGAATAAAACTAACGAAAAGACTGAAAACGGGGGGAAAAGAAAGATAAAATAATAAAGAAAAACGCAACAAAAATGGGACAAACAACTCCCCCACACTTACACATTTGTCCGTCCCGAACGAAAAGAAAAGAAAAGACACGAGAACAAGCAAACAACCATGGCTAACAGTTCAAATAAGACAAGCCTCAGATTAGTTAACTCACCCGAGGAGAGTTCCAATGACCAATCACGCATATCCCAACTACACTTGAATGCAACATCTTGAAACGACAAACTCTCAAGCATGGAAGTATAACAAATAGATGCCTCACTCAGTTTCTTTCATGAATATAAAACTGAGAGGCTCAAATTGGTCGATCATCATGCATCAATATAAACTTGCTTATTGTCTATTCATACTCTAAATCAATCAAAGATAATGAATTTGCAAATCAAGGGGACTTCTAGGTTGCAGTGTCGGCATCAAATGGAGGACGAATATAGGATAAAGTGGCTCAAATAAACAATCAAACTCTCGAGCGCAAAGTTAACTCGAACACCTTACCACTTATCCAACATCAACATATACTAACCATTCCCATCAGACTCAATACAACACTCGCATACGCTCAAACTGAATTGCACTTCAAGTACTCGACTCTTCTTTTTTTAACATATATATAAATATATTTTTTTATCTATAGGGAAAATTGATTTTTTCCTAACAAGACTGAAACGTAAGGACGACATTCTCTAGGTTTAAACATTAGAGGTCATCCAAGTTTCCTAGAATGGTTTCCTAATACTCATTACTCGTGAAAATCCCACAAGTAAGCGGAGTAGAATCCTTTTCGTTTGTCTTGCGAATTCCCATTGTTTTTTCTTTTTTTTTTTTTTGTCAAGTACCCAAAAATGCAACTCAAACAAATTATACACCTTCTCCAATACATATTAGTAAAACTCCATCATCATATCAAGTATACAGACAAGTCTCAACATATTTAGTTGAATCGGATGACAAGAAATACGGTTTCAGGCTCAACGGGCTACTAATGAACATATAACTTTGAGGGGCAATGAAGAAGGAAAAAACGAGCTATATCAAAGAAATGCCTCTATCATATTCGCAAATCACAAATCTAATCAATTCTTTTCAGAAAAGACTCAAAGCAAGTTCTGATCAACAAGAATTCGACCAATATCTCTCAAGAAACAAAATAAGCCTC